CTCGTTCTTTGTGGCAAAGAAAAGATGACCCACTCCTGCTCAAATGCATTCTGTCCCGTTCAACCCTTGCATTTGCTTCAGCCCCCGGGGAAAAGAACATATGTCCATTCAAAACCAGAAAGGCAAAGTAAACCATATTCATTTCAGCACCTGGAAGAACCCCAAGGCAGCCCAAAAGTCGCTTTCTAAGGCTTACAAAACGCCGCGGTCCTTGTACTTGGAGGGCCTTTGGAAGAACTCCCGCGCTTGCTGGTAGAGCTGACCCAAAGCTGGCAGCTCCTGACCGACGACTTCCAGCGGATTCGCGAGGATCGGTCTGTTCGAGGTGAGCAACACGTGAAGTCTCGGTGGCGACGTGCGACATAACTAGGTCCTCCAGTAGAGAGGTTAGAGTCAGGGTACCCTTTTTTTCTGTAGTCTATGTTAGCAGGGGAATCCTCCCCCAAAAAAGGGTAAAAGGGCGCCAGTGGGGGACCCAAAAAATGCTGGCACTTGAGGTGCAAACACCACACATGTGGTTTCTTTCCGGTTCGCACAACAGGAACCCACCTGCCAACTAGCCGAATTTCCAAAAAACAAAAACAAAAAAAAGGCGGCCGACGTTTGCATCCGGCCCCGATTCTGAAATTGGCGGTCGGGACTCTTCTGAAGACTTTGCGCTCTGAGATGCAACCAGTGACCATGGTAGAATACATAGAACCGTTGTTCTAACGGTTGATTCCCCATTCTTTTCAACCATGGTTCTTTTCAATAACCTGCCGTTTCCATGGGTTTCTGGACTTTTTCTAGAACAAAGGATGCCTGGAAAGAATGGGGAAGGTAGCACTAGAGTTGTAGTCGACCAAATTGAGTTACCCTGCTGGCCACGCTGCCATGGAATCTACGTCCCCGTTTCAAGGAAAATTTTGTGAACACCCAAACCCCTCAGTCAGGTTCCGCGGCGCTTGCGCGCCCAAAAGGGACAATTCAGACGGGCGCTACGCTTCCCTGGCGCCCTTGCTGACACTATCCCTTCTAGGTCCTCCAGTAGAGAGGTTGGAATAGAGGTACCCTTTTTATCCGTAGTCTATTTTAGTAGGGGAACCCTCCCCCAAGAAATGGTACAACGGCACTGAAAAACCTCGCCTGGCCTCCTGCAGCTGAAGAATGGCATACCTTGCAGCTCGGGGAACTGCAAGCCGCTTCGCCCCGGCAAAACGGGCCATCAGGCCTAAAGGATGAGAATGTGCTTGTGGGATACTTTAAGACCAAAGTGAGTGGTAGGGGAATAAAGTGTGTAAGTATGAAGCTCCCTTTTTTCGAGACTGACGGACTAAGAGGGCTGCTTTGCCGCCAAAAGTCTTAAGGTTTGCCAATCCCCAGTTCTCGACCAGGTTCATCCTGGCTCAATATTGCACCTTCATGGGTCTTCGCCTTTCAAAGGGGCAGAGCTTGCGGCCAAGTGAGGGCTTGTGTCAAAATGGAGGGCCCCCGCACATGAAACATGTTCTTTTGGTTTCCCTGGAAACCTGCTTGAAATTGGACACCCAACAACACACGCCCAACCCTACCTGGGATTTAGCCACGCAACACATTGAAATTGAGCAGGCATGCGCAGTATAGTAGTTCATGTCTTAACCCTCGACAAGTAACGTTGGAAGCAAGGACCTAGGAGGCAACCGCATCCCGCGGCTAAAATCCTTCTTGCAGGACTGGCTGCGCAATTCAAACGTGAGCAAGCAGGAGATGCAAAGTCGTGCCAAGTCACAACCTCCAACTAAGCCACAAATGAATTCGTTTCCTTGGCGTGATGTGGGACAATTGGGTTGGCTTTAGTGTGGGTTGACCTAACGTGCTGGTGCCATCAGCAGCCCACAGCGTCCATGAAAACAATACCTCAGACCTCCACTTAAATTGTCAACCGATGGACCGCTGGTCAATTGATTATACCAGCATGCAAGCATCCTCGAGCGTGCGAGGATGGGCAGATTGCTGTGGCTGGCAAGTCATCCCCACCAAACTTATATGTTTGTGTCTTTGTCCCAACCTCAAGGGTGCGGAAGCAAACCAGAAACCGATTTGTGATTTGTTGTACTCAATCAACTAAGCAACACATAAGAAAACTGAGAAGTGGGTTTGCTCAAAAGTCAAACCTCTGAAGAGGCATCGTTGTATTTCCCAAGCATTGCACCAGCTAAAATGAAACACCTGCAGAAAGAACTCTCCTGTTCAGGTCCCCATCAGAATTGAGGATCTATTTGTTCAAAGCTTGTCTCAGCATGGTAGGGCTGGGAAAGGAGTTCCCGTAGGGCTTCTTCCGGGTTTGGGGGACCCAATTTTTATGGTGCGTTTTCTCTGGGCTTCCCTTTAAACCAACACAAAACCAGAGGGATAGCCCTCCAAAAAAAGACAGACCCAACCGTCCAAGAGTTTAAGAGCACCGTGCCCAACAGTCCTGGAGGAAGCCCTACGGTTGCATTGTTTGGAATTCAGGAATGCCCCCCCCCCCCCCCCCCGGAAAAAAAAATCCAAAAAAAAAACGCATCCCATCTAATTCTATAGCCTATAGCAGCAGTTTCATTTATCCAAAGCCCCCAACAAATGCCCTGCAATATGAACTTCGGATTTCTCTGGAATGGTCTTCCCAAGTCTAAAATCCAGGAACGCGGGAAGTGAGCGAAATTCCCAAACCCTGGGATCTTGTTTCACGCAGTCTGCAAGTTGACGCAACAAAAGCCGGGGCGACCCTTTGGCTCGCAAGGCCGGTAGAGCCTCGCTCAGGGCGGGGGGGGGGGGGGGGCAGCGCCTTTTACTCAGTTGCCCTTTAGGGACCCAGGAAGAAAAGGACGACCTTCTAAGGTCACTACTAGGTCCTCCAGAAGCGAGGCTAGAATAAGGGTACCAACTTTTTTCTGTAGTCTAGGGGAAAAAGAGTTCGTAAACAAGTCTCCAGGAAAAGGCCTGGGTCACGAGTCAAAGCATGTCAACCATGGAGAAAAGCATGCCCTCTTGGAGGGCTTGCAACTAGTGCTTAAAACTGCTTCAGCACCTGAAAATCTTGTCTGCTTCGGTTACAGCGGCAAACATGCGGGCCTGTGTAACATTTTGTGCACCAAGGTAGACTCCGTCCCACCTAGACTCCGCCTGACCCTTTTCAATGGGGTCATGACCCCTCATACTACGTGGAACAAAACAACCTTCTGTGTCACTCATGGCTCCTAGGTGGGGAGGCCAACACATCGCGGTTGTCGCTTTGGTGTCCCTTTATATAAACCAACCCCTTAAAAGGTACCCTTAAAGAAAAAGAACACATTTGTAGTAGGAGTCAAGGAGGGCAAACCCAGAAACAACCATCAACATGTCATCTAGCATTTCTAATCATTTGTGCCCCAAAAAGCCAACAAGGTCGCCAACTCCTGAAGGAAATGGGGGGGACCCAATTGTGTGGGTGCCTAATGTGGAGACAAACCCAGTTGAGCGGTTGTAGGTGTCCTTTTAAAACAGATGGCACTCATGACTTCCCCCTGCAACCAGACCCCATCCAGTTTCAAGCCTGAAAAAGGGCACTCGGTTGAGCGCCCTTTTTCCTCACTGACTTGAGTGGATTGGCCCAAAAGGCACCCGAACGTTTGATTTACCACGAAAATGATCTTCCCAAGTATAAAGTCCAGACACTGAGGGAGTGAGTCATTTTACATGTCCAAGCCTTTTTGAGGTGGTCATCGCTAAACGGGCGGGCCTATCCAAATGTTAGTTTCGCCAAACTGTTGATTGACCACTAAAATGATCCAAAACAGTGTGTAAAGTCCAGACACCATAGAACCCGAACAGGGGTCTTCCTTTACAACTGGGGTCTTTTTTTGGTGGGCTTCATGTCTAGGTCCGCAGTAGAGAGGTTAGAATACGGGTACCAACTTTTTGTCTGTAGTCCACTTTAATAAGGGACCCCTCCCAACCAAAACGGGAGACCCCCCAGAAAGGGCACCTAGCTGGGGGACCTACTCCAAGCAACGAACCTTTATGGCTTTCGTTAAGGGTCGCTTGCCAGATCGGGTTGCCCTTAGATCTCAGACAGAACCGAGCGCCGCCAAGGGGGTCGCCGGCAAGGAGCGAACGCGTCGATTTGCGGCGACCCTGGGATGCCGCGCCCAGGCCAGGTCCTCGCTGCCGCCCCTCAGCTGCGGCGACAGACTGGGCAGGGCGAACCTGCGGTGAAAAAAAAACGCCCACAAACAAAAGCCAACTTGGGACATCAATGCCATGGGTTCATGCCATGGGTTCATGCCATGGGTTCAAAGTTGAGAACTCTGAGTGGGTTAAATTCGGAAATCGCTGAAAAAACCTAAGGAACCGGATGGCTGGGAACCAACAAGATCACATTTGGGGACGGGAATGAACTTTGATAACCCCCACAAAAGTTTGGTGGATGAGACTACCTGAAGGATGGGGAACGCCCACTTTGGACGTCATGCGCTGCTCACCAACGAGTGGATTGGCCAAACAAAGTCACCAACCTTTGCATTTGCCGCTATGATTTTCCCAAAAAGTGACTAAAGTCCAGGAACTCAGGGAGTGAGGCTGTCCCTTTTCAGATCCCCCGCTAAGAGTTGAGAACTCTGTTGGAAATCCAACCACGAAACACTACAAAAGCGCTAAACATAATTACGTTTACAGGATTACATGCGGAAATCCAGGAACCCCCCTGCGCCATTTTGGGAAAGCCCCTGCAAAGACAAAAAACCCTTTGCGAGGCCACCCCCCAAAATGATGGTTGTCTTTTTGGTTTCCCTCTAAGCCAAGCCCAAAAAGGGTGCCCTCCAAGAACGACAGGCCCAACTATGGGTGTGAAATCCAATAAGGGATTTAGTGAACATCGTTTAGTCTTATCCACACACTTGTGGGGGTTATCAAAGTCCATTCCCATGGCGTCCCCAAATTTGAGCTTGGTGGTTATTCAACAATAAGATCGATCCAACCTTATGGAGATGAGTCATATGGCAAAAACAAAACAACAACTGCATGACGTTCAGCGACGGACAAAAACATGATTCAGAAGTAGCTTCCATTTGGTTAGACCCCTGGAAAAAAACAAAACAGTAGTGATAAATTCCTTTTAACACCAACAAGGGAACATGCAAACATATTCACTTCAGCAAATGGCAGTTAGTGTCCAAGTTTCTCCTTTCAAAGTCCTTCACTGTTGGACAGGGTGGGGCCAATCACATGTTTAAACATGTTTAAACACCTATTGTCTAAACATCCCCATGTAGGTTTCCTGTGAAGGGGGCCATGGATTGGATGTTTAAACCAACTTCGCCCCACCCTGCTTTTGGAAGGGTCTGATCTGCCAGGCTGATTAATGTGGCGTCGTGTGTAAGCTGCCTCCCGCACCTTGTTTTGACCCCCGTGACACGTTGTGGTCGACCCGGTTTAAATTTCTACCCTCCCTCCCAATATGGGGTGGGAAATCGCTGTACCAACAGTTTGCGCCATGACTTGCTTTGGCTAGGTCCTCCACTAAAGAGGTTAGGGTAAGGGGGTACCCTTTTCTCTGTAGTCTATTTTAGCAGGGGACCTCCCCAAAAAAAGGGGTAACAGGGCACTAGTGGGGGACCTAGTCCCAATATGGGGTGGGAAATCGTTGTACTAACATGTTGCGCAATGACTTGCTTTGGTCTTCCTTTGGTACCCGCCTCCTATAGGAGTCCGTTTTGTTTGAGTTATCGCTGCGATGCTTCAGCACATTCTGGTTGGCAAGTCTTAGCATTGGACGAATACCGCTTTCGGGGAAACACATCGAAGCTCTGACTCGTGCCACAATGTCTTTCATTGCTTTTCGCATGCAGCAGAACCATCTTCCCGCACCAAAAAAAACAATCGATTTGGTTCGCGGGCCCATTCACACTTTATCTAATCTCCGGATGCTTGTCCTCAATCGCGCTCTGCGCGGCCGCCAGCTACCTGCTCCCGCAGACCTTCTCTCCCGGAACCCGTTTAATCTGAGGTTCGACGGGGGGAGGGAAAAAGCATTCGATGTTGACAATGAATACATGGGACCCACCCCAAAACGCAGAAGCATCCACTGAGTCTAAGAAACAGGCTACCGAAAATTCTGCAGGACCCCCCCCCTGCCCTGGTTCTGAATGGTTAACAAAAACTCCACGAGGCGGGCATCCCTCGGACGCTCCAAGTGGCTTGGGTCCCTTGACCAAACTAGTTGGACATAGAAGGTTGATCTTCCGGAAAGAGTCAAGCTGGCCAACAGCCTTGGAAACAAAAAACGGTAAGACAAGCTGGCCTGAGGAAGAAGCTTGACGTAAGGCTCACGAGGTTCCGCAAGGGAATGGCAACCTCGGACTCAATCCGGAATTTGGAGTTGCTTCAAACTCAGCCTGTAACACTTCGACTGTGTCCAGACGTTTCTCCCAACTGTGACACGGAAGAAAACAACAGAAGGGAGAGCCAAATGACATCGTCGGCCTGTTGAGGAAGACAGAGCAGGTTGCGCGGCTGCTTTTCCTGCGCGGCGAAATTGAGCACCCGAACATACAGCAGGCTTCTCTTGCAAGGGGTTGGTTCGCTGCAAAACTTCGGAATAGTTGCCAAGGAAACTGGCACTTGCCGCTAGTTGAGGCATTATTTTGGTGAAACTAAAAAGCTAATATGATAAGGACACCCCCGAAATCAAAGGATTCCAGCGACAGCGATTCAATCTTGCTCAAGCAGGTGGTCCCATGTTTGCCCGCAAATGACAGCTGTTTTGCCCGCAAATGACAACTTGTTTTTGCCGTTTGGTTCAGCGCGACAGTGGAGCCAGGGGAGTCGTTTTTATTTTGGGGAGGAAACCAACAGGAAAACCGAAGCCATGTTGGGGGGTTGAAATCCAAAAAAATACAAACGACACTCCCGCTTGTAGATGTCCTTGACACTAAGCTCGCACGAACGAGCCTTCAGGGACAACGGGTCAAACAAACATAAGCACCCAAGCGGTGCCAGGCTGTGCCCAAAACCAATGGGAATCCTGGCAAGTCCAGGTCTACCCTCCATGGTTCTGGAACATGCTCTTTCTGTGATACCGAAGTGAAGCATACTGTGGATGGACTAAATCCATTTCGCACCACCCAAGAAACCCTAGAATGATGATTCCCCTGTAAATACCAACAAACCATGGTTTCAACTATGGTTTCAAAGTGGTGCAGGATTTCGTCCATCCACAGTATTGATGCTGTGTCACCTTCTTTGAAAAGCTCCCGGCCAAGTATCACAGAAAGTCGGCGACCTAAAACTCCTGTTTCCTCTCCACCCTTAGGTGCTATTTGGGCAATGAGATACCTAAGGTTCCACATTGCCTGAAAGAATCGGTGTGAGGTTGGGCTTGTCCAATCCCTTGATTCACAGCTACATACTCACCGTTTGCCCCAAACGTATGTATCTTGAGCTGCTCCACATTTATAAGCCTTGTATAGCCGGTTGTTGAGCAAGTTCGAAACAAGTGCCACTTACGCCTTGAACGTTTGACGCCCATGATCGGGTGACATAACCCCATGCTGTAAGGCCCTTGAAGAAACACAAACAAAAAAAAACAGTCAGAGCTCAGAGTGGGTCGATCCTGATGTGCCTTTCCTTGGGCCATCTAACCCTTCTAGACATGGGCATTTCTTATAAATGCAAGACTTCATAGATATGTATGATTATGTGTGTGTATATATATATGTTTATACTAGCAACGGCTTAATATGCACAATCATATGCATATCTATCTATACATATATATATATTATACAATTAAATACTATACACATATATGGTGCAAAGGCACATCAACATCACGGGCTCCTTCTTTGCCCCAGTTAACCCTCGGTTGACTTCGACCCGACCTGCCCAGACAGTCGGTCCAGTGACTTCGCCGGGCGCAGCGCAGAGTCGCGTGATGGGCCGCACAGGCCCTGCCTGAAGTTGCCAGCAGGGTGCCTTTTGGGGGGGGGGTCGAAGGGGGGTCCCTAAAACTCCCTAAAAAAATCAGTGACCCTGGGAAAAAAGGAACCCTTTTTGGGGAAGACAATTTTTAGTGGGGCAGCCACCCCAAACAAATGGAAAAAGAGTGTCACTGAACAACTGAGCCTTTGTGAAGAATCCTCTAAGGAGGGGGGCGGTCCAGGAAGGGGTGGGTGGGTCCAAGGAGGGTCCCTAACACTCCCTAAGGAATCTAGTCCCGGTCAAAAACAACTGGAGAAGACCCCAGTTTTGGTTGCTCCAAGAGAGGACATCAACCGATGCCTCAGCACTCAAACAGACAAGCGCAGCGCAGAGAAGTGCAGTGACTCAGTCGCCGGGACAGAGACGAACAAGAACTTCGGATCCCAGGCGGGTCAAGTCTGTATCGTTGCGCTTCCTGCGTGCGAACTGAGCTGGAATTGCGCGTTGCCTGGGACTCGGATTTTGACGCGCGCGAGTCTTTGCTTGAGATTGAATTTTGCGTTGCTCAAATTTACAATCTACTCACTTGTTTCCTGACGAAAAATGACTAGCTCCGGCCATTCAAGCAAGGTGCAGGAATGGATACACTGAGGATTGAAGCCGGGCCTTCCGCATGCGAAGCGCGCATGATGCCACTGCTGCCCAAAGCTTATGTTCAAGCTTTCATAGCCAGAAACAGCGCGCCGCTCAGAAAGCAGGCCGCTGTAGTCATAGAGACATCGACGGCCCGCTTTTTGGCCTCTACGAGCTGAAGCCGGGAAGTTTATGGACACAAACCCAACAATATCTGAGCTGATCAGTCGCTGGCAAAGCCAAGGTAAACGAAACAAGAATACAACACGTCAACTTAATCAATTTATGGCGCACAAGTTTGATCAACCTATTCATGCCACAAGCCACCAACACATGCGTGACACCAAGAGGCAAACAGTTGCGCCAGTTTGAGGGTCCCCTAAAAAGAACTGCACCCAAATCTTTCTGAGGCTGTCACTTTCGCTTAAACCGCCGTCATCGAGGCTCCGGCGGGAAGCTATGCGCCTGAGCAAAAAGCAATGCAAGGCGGTTGGTTGAGGCACGCACGCATGCGCATGCAGGCAGCACACGAAGCCAGACAGGCACGCAAGCACTCACAGACGCACTTCTTCGAACCAACCAACAAGCCGACCGAGCGACCCACCGAGCGACTGTCAACAAGCCGACCGACCGATTCACCAACCAACCAACCAGGCCAACCAAACCAACCAACGCAACGCGGGCGTTCGCTTGCGAGTAGGTGCATAGGTGCATAGGTGCGAGGTGTGTGTATATGTGTGCGCGGTGTGCGCTGTGTGCGGGTGAGGTTTCTCTGTCATGTCCAATATATCATTCTACATGTTGGTCACTAGACTTGATGTTGTGTTTGTGTGTGTGTGTGTGCGTGCGTACTAGTCGGTCGGTCGGTTGCTTGATTGCTTGGCTGGCTCGCTGATGCCTTGTTGGTTCATTGATTTCGTTCCTGCCTTCAATTTCTTTATTGAGTTATGTCTTGTGTGCTCTCTTCATTATGTCTTTTGTTATTTAATATTTATTTAATTTATTTGTTCATGTTTCTCAGTCTTGCTTTGCTTTTAATCTTTGGGTGTTCTTTATCCATATTTTATGTATTTATGTATCCGCGTGTTTGATTTGTTTTCGTGTTTGATTTATTTGTTGTTTTATTTGTTTGCTTTTTGCTGCCTGTTCTGTGCTACTGTGTTGCCTTTCTTGGTGGAATGGGTATGTGTTTGTTGTTTGTGACTTTGTTCGCTTTGTTGTTTGCTTCGCTGATTGCATGCCGGCCTGTTTGGTTGGTTTGCGTGTGTGCTCGTTCTCTCAACTGCTTGCTCTGTATTGGCATGTTAATTAGCGTTAATTAGCCTGTGTGTGTGTGGGTGGGTGTGGGTGGGTGTGTCTGTGTGTGTGTGTGTGTCTGTGCGTGCGTGCGTGCGTGCGCGCGCGCGTGCGTGCGTGCGTGCGTGCGCGTGTGCGTGTGCGTGCGTGTGTGTGTGTGTGTGGGTGCGTCTGT